AATACAATAATTGTAGAGACCTGCAACATCTAACTTTCAACAATAGACACATTATCTGGGCAAAAAATCAACCAAGAATCCTCAGACTTAAACTGCACCATAGACCAAACAGACCTTAGCTTTGCAGATTACTCCACATAATTGCTGAGTAATACATATTATTCTCAACTAAATATGAAACATTCTCCAGGAGAGATCATGTTAGGCCACAGAACAAGTTTAAATACATTTAAGAAGATATCAATCATATTACATATCCTTTCGAACCACAGTGGTATGAAATGTGAAATCAACAACAAAGAAAACTTCAGAAACTTTACAAATACATAGAAATGGAACGACATGTTTCTAACTAACCAATGGGTTAACGAAGAAATTAGAGGGGAAATTTAAAACATTTTTGAGAAAATGAGAATGACAACACATGCCAAAACCTATGGAACATAGCAAAGTCAATTCTAAATGGTAAGCTTATAGTAATAAACACCCACATCAAAAAAAAAGAAAGATTTCTAATATACAACAAATATACCTCAAGGAACTGGAAAAATAAGACCAAACTAAACCTAAAATTGGTAGAAGGAAGAAAAACATAAAGCTCAGAGCAGAAATAAATGAAATAGATACTAAAAAACTAAAAAAAAAAAAACAAAATGAGAAGTTGATTTTTGAAATTATAAACAAGATTGACAAACATTTAGCTAGATTAAGAAAAAAGGTTCAGCCGGGGCTCGGTGGCTCAGCCTGTACCCCCGCGCCTTTAGGAGGCTGAGGTGAGTGGATTGCCTGAGCCCGCGAATTCGAGACCCACCTGGACAGCGAGACCTCATCTCTACAATAAATCAAAAAATCAGCCGGGCGTGGTAGCGCATGCCTGTAATTTTGGCTACTCGGAAGGCTGAGGTGGAAGGATCGCCGGAGCCCAGCAGGCGAGGTTGCGGTGGCCGGGAGCGGCCACTGCACTCCAGTCTGGGCAACCGAGTGAGACTCCAACACACACACAAAATAAAAGTCTCAAATAAATAAAAGAGATTAAAAAGGAGACATTACAATTGATACCACAGTATTATGTGACACTATTATAAACAACTACATGCCAAAAAATGTGATAATAGAGAAGAAATAGATAAATTCCTGAATGCATACAGCCTACCAAGGTTAAATTATGAAGAAATAGAAAATTTGGACAGATCAATAACAAGTGAGAAAATTGAGTCAGTAATAAAAAGTCTTTCATTAAACAAAAGTTGAGGACCTGCCAAATTCTACCGAACACTTGCAGAACAACTAATACCATTTCTTCTCAAACTATTCCAAAAAAATGAAGTAGAGAAACTTAATTTCATTTTATAAGGCCAGTATTACTTGGATTCTAAAACTGGACAAAAATAAAACAAAGAAAAAAAATCTATAGGTCAATAATGCTGATAAACACAAATGTAAAAATTTATAACAAGATACTAACAAACCAAATCCAAGAGACATTAAAAAGATTATTTACTATGGTCAAGTGGGATTCATCTCAGAGATGCAAAAATGGTTTAACATATCCAAATCAATAAATGTGATACACTACATTAACAGAAAGACAGACATGATGTGATCATTTCAATAGGTGCAGAAAATGCATTAGACAAAATTTAACATTTCTTCATGATAAAAAAAACTCTTAGAAAATTAGTATAGAAGGTATGTACCTCAAAACATAGAGGTCATATATGACAAATCCATAGCTAACATTACACTGAATGAGGAAAATATATCAGACATAAAGACCAATGACACAGGTACTAAGAACACAGGGGAAAAGACAATCTTTAATAAATGATGCTGGGGACATTGCAGATAAATGAGACTAGACCCTGTACCTTTCACGGTATACAAAAATCAACTTAAAATGTATTAGACTTAATTGTAAAACCCAAAACTATGACTCTACTAGAAGAAAGCATAATAGAAATGCTTTGCAACATTGGCCTGGGCAAGGATTTTTAAAATAAGACTTCAAAAGCACAGGCAACATAAGCAAACACAGACAAATAGAATTACATCAAATTAAAAAGTGTTTGCATAGAAAAGGAAGCTTTACAAAGTGAAGAGAACCTACAGAATAGAGAAAATACTTGCAAACTATACACCTGACAGGGTTTATATAAAAAGCTTATACAACTTAGCAGAAGACCAAATAACCTGATTTTAAAATGGACAAAAGACTTTTATAGACATTTCTAATAAATAAATAAATAAGATGGCCAACAGATATATTAAAAAATGCTCAACATTACTAACCATCAGGAAAAGTGCAAATCCAAACCACAATGAGTTACCACCTCATTGCGGTTAGAATGGCTCTTATCAAAAAGACAAAAGAAAACAAGTGTTGGTGAGGATGTGAGTGACTGTTCCATACTGCTGACTGGATGGTAAATTAGTACAGCCATTTTGGAGAACAGTATGGAGGTTCCTCAAAAAAAATTTTAAAAACGGAAATAAAATCAGTATGCCATCGAGATATCTGCACTCTTGTGTTTATTGTAACACTATTTACAATAGCCAAGGTATGCAATCAACTTAAGTATCCATCAACAGATACTGGATAAAGAAAATGTGGTATATATACACAAGGGAATACTATTCAGTCATAAAGAGAATAACGTCCTGTTATCTGTAAAGACATGGATAAACTTGGAGAACATCATGTTAAATGAAACAAGATAAGCACAGAAAGACAAAATACCATGAGATCTCTTATGAGGAATTGAAAAAAAGTTGTACTCATAGAAGTAGAGAATAAATCAATAGATCAGTAGCTACCAGAGACTGGGGAGGGGAGGGAGCAAAAGAGGCTGGGGAGAAGTTGGTTAACAGGTTACAAAGTTATTACTAGATAGGAGGAATAAATCCTGGTGTTCTACTGCACAGTAGGACAAAGATGGTTAGTAGTTAGGTGTTGTATTTTACATAACAGCAAGAAGAGAGGCTTTTGAATGTTCTCAAGGCAAAGATATGAGAAATGCAACCGTGATGGATATAAATAACCCTGATTAGATAATTATGCAATATAGATATGTACTGAAATATCAAATTGTACCCCATAAATACATACAATTGCAATGTGTCAATTAGCGAAATAAGTACAATAATTTTTTTTTTTTTGAGTTGGAGTCTCACTCGGTTGCCCAGACTGGAGTGCAGTGGCCGCTCCCGGCCACCGCAGCCTCACCTGCTAGGCTCCGGTGATCCTTCCGCCTCAGCCTTCCAAGTAGCCGGAATTACAGGCATGTGCTACCACGCCCGGCTGATTTTTTGATTTATTGTAGAGATGAGGTCTCGCTGCCCAGGCGGGTCTCGAACCCGTGGGCTCAGGCAATCCACTCCCCTCAGCCTCCCAAAGGCGCAGGATTACAGGCTGAGCCACCGAGCCTGGCAAGTACAATAATTTTTAAAAACAACAAAAGAAATGAAGTATTGATACATGCTACAATATGGATCAACTTTGAAAACATTAAGCTAATTTTTTTAAAAAGTCACAAGAGACCCACATACTATGTTTCCATTTATATGAAAAGTTCAGAAAAGGCAAATTCATAGAGACAGAAAGAAAATTAGTATTGCCAGGATTGGAGGAAGGTGGGAATACAGAATAACTACTAATGGTTATGGGGACAGAAATAAAAATATACAATAGATAGTGGTGTTGTTTGTACAATTCTGTAAATATAGTAAAGGGTGTTGTATTGGGTCTCACTGAACCAAGGGCCACAGTAGAGGCCAAACCATGGCCTTCTGACCTTAAATCCAATGGGTATTCCTCTGCACTGGGGCATAATTAAAGTCCCATGGTGATGAAGTCGCCCATTTTTATAATTTTAAATCATTATTATGACAATGTTTTCACATCTAGGAGTTCTGTTTCTGGCAGAATCGCATTCTAATTCCAATTCTCTTATTCTCTTTTCTAAAAATAACTATTGCTAACTTTAAAACATATATATTTAACATGTTCCGGGCACCATGCCAAGTCCTTTACAGATAATATTCTTATTTAATTTTCTCAGTAATTCTAAAAGACATATTCAATTATCATTCTTATTTTATAAAGGAGGAAACTGAGGATTAGAGGAGCTGAGTATCCTGTACACGAACACTCAGCTTCCATATGGTGAAACTAGGATTCAAACTCATATAGTCTGGGTATGACTCCAGATCCCATGCCCACGGTCCTGGCCACACTGTTTGTCTATGTCCCCAGTACTGTGGCTGTGGCTTTGGTGTAAGGCTGAAGTAAAGGGAGTGAAATAACTTTCTCAGCACAGAGCAGATGTGTTTGACTTTTTATCTACTCATTATTTAACTCAGCTTGGACAAACCCAAGAGGAAGAGAGCCATTTTCACTCCCCTTTCATCCTCCTTTCACCAGCCTCGTCCTACTGCCCCCATTAACAGGTTGATGATATAACAACTTCAGGTTAAAGATGGGGAAGGAATATCTTGTAGCGTACAGTCAAATCACGTTTCAGTTTCTTATAGATGTGTCTATTTGTCCTTGACCAAATATATATATATAAAACAATAGAGATGCATATGATACATTTTAAAACACACACACATTTTATCACCGAATGAATGCTTTTGAGTTTAAATTTAGCAAACATTTGTTGAGCACTTCTGCGCAAGGCACAATACTAAGTATGTGTCAGGCAGAGATGAATAAAAATATATCCTCTGACTTCAAGGAGCTTATAGTTTAGTGGGAATGATGGACTTTAAATTTTAGTTATACTCCAAATCAAAATTAGGAGTCATAAACATAAAATTGTAACTGGAATATGACGTTGGGTTGGAAGATAGGAGGGGCATTGAAGATGTGCCTGGAAAAATGAGGAAGATCTGTTGGAGGAAGGGACAAGGGGCAGAGGAAGTGGACAGAGACAAGGAGGGTGGAAAAGTGTTGGAACTCTTAGAGATCTCAGATCATCTAAGGTAGCCGGAGCATAGGGATGACCACCAAGTTACTGAAAACTGATTTGCCAAAAAAGTCAGTCTACTGAATGAATGCTAATTCCTGAAGGATCAGTCCTTCCTTAAATTTGCTGAATTTATCAAATTAACAATTTATCTAATATTGTTTTAAGAAATATTCCTCTTAAATATGTTCGGTACATAAATATATTTGTCTTGAAGAAAGCCATGAATATGTACTTTTTAGCGGCAATTTTAAGGATGTTCAATCTGTTGAACACGAGGTTTAGTGTTCTTTTAAGCATATTCTTTTTATGACTGAATTAATAAATTTCTTCCTAAAATGTTTAATGCATGCACTTTTCTTATAAATTTCAGTACAAATACAGAGATTCATAAGATAAATTTTTACCTTAAAGTGACTTTACAACTTAAAAAAAAATTTCCCGTTTCAGGCACCATGCCAAGCCCTTTACAGATAATATTCTTATTTAATTTTCTCAGTAATTCTAAAAGACACATACAATTATCATTCTTATTTTATGAAAGAAGAAACTGAGGATTAGAGGAACTAAGTATCCTGTACACGAACACTCAGCTTCCATATGGTGAAACTAGGATTCAAACTCATATGGTCCGGGTATGACTCCAGATCCCATGCCCACGGTCCTGGCCACACTGTTTGTCTATGTCCCCAGTACTGTGGCTGTGGCTTTGGTGTAAGGCTGAAGTAAAGGGAGTGAAATATGATGGGAAAATTTTAATACTTTTGAAAACTTTTATTGATGGGAGGATTTTTAATACTTTTTAACATTTCTGTGAGCTTTGAGTTGACTGGTTTTCATCAGTGCAACGTGTCTTTGCTACAGTTTCTTCTCCCAGCTGTAGTGAGAGGGTATATGTAGGGCAGAGATGTACTAAAATACAGGATGGAGAGATTAAGGGGAAGCAAATGCTGGTGGAAGGGTGGGAAAGCGTCTAGGGAGCAGAGATAAAGCAGCTTGATGTAGGGTGGTCAGTGATCCCAGTTTGCCTGGAATTGTCCTGTTTTTAGAACTGAAAGTCCGTGACCTAGAAAACCCCTCAGCCCTGAAGAAACTGGTACAACTGGTTAACCTATGATGGAGAAGTAGGGGGCAGTGTGAATGTTTTAGAACTTTAGATTTCGATTTCTTCCTAACACTGTTAGGCCAGTCTTACCTATTCAATGTGAATTATTATAAGCAAATTGGCTGTTATAAAAATCGATATTTTTTCCAAAATTGTCCTTGAAGACATGAATAGGGTATGTGGGATGTGGATGGCATGCGTGTGTGCCAGGAGCAAGGTATGGGGTTGGAGGAGTGGCATGTCAGAGGTTTTAGAAAGTTAAGAATTTGCCTTGACTTTTTACTCAGTGAGAGAGTTAATCACCTGCATAGAGTATGAGGGGTGCCACAAGCTTCCTCCTCACACACTACCAAGTGGGCAGTGACAGCTTTGGGAAAAAAAGGGAGAAGACTGTCTTGATTTAAGCAGACATGTGCTGACAATTCATATAATTAAGGACAGATGGTATATAAAGCCATCTCAATCTACCTAAGGTTTTAGAGTAAAAGGTGAAATCTTGTATTTCATTGAAAGTTAATTTTATTTATCACTCTGGGTATAAGAACTATTTCTTAAGTAAACTTAGGATATGCAAGGATTTTTTGCAATTTAGGGGGTAAAAATGACCTTATAGGGATCTTTGCTTTGAATAAATCTCTAGTTAGTGAATGACTAGAACCCAAAAATATAACAGTACTATTTCCATTTTATTGCTGTTGTTGGCAAAAACCATGCTTTGAAAATTATGAATTGAACCCAATGCATTATTGCTTTTGTTGAGAGTTGCCATAAGGAACTCATAGTAGATGGATAGAGATAGACTAGACAGAGAGATAGATAGATGATAGATTAGATAGATGATAGAAAGATGGAGGGATGGATGGATGGATGGATGGATAGATAGATAGATCGCCAATTCCTTTCCTCTGTCTCATATTTTCTTGCTTTTCTTATATTTACTCTTATCTAACTCCTCTGCCATTTCCTTCTTCAGATCATTTCTGTGGCTCACTTGCCAATTGCTATAGTCTTCTTAATCAACGTCTCTGCTTCCTTTAATCTATCTTGTACACATCTGCCATAGCACAGTAATCATGACACTAAAAAATTAAAAAGTGGTTGTCTATTTCCTAGGTCTAAACTCCTACTCTTGGTATTGAAAATCCCATCAAACTCAGTTCTAATCTGCCTTTCTATCTTTAACCATCATCTCTCTATCACATATTCCTCAAATAAACTGAAGTAATTTTGCTATTTTCCAGAAATAATCTTTACCTTCTCACTGCTGTGTCATTACTCAACTTTTACTTTACCATAAAATGTCCTTCATCTAACACTACAATTATCTACCACGTCTGTAAAGTTCATTCCCAAATCTCCAAACGGAATGAACTAGTCTCCTGAATATGCTCCTGAAGCAGATAATATAAGCTGTCTTTTATTGTAAACATTTGTACTTAATGTCTGCTTTTCCGATATGATTGTAATTTCCTGAAAGTGGTTCCCATCTGATTTTTTCTATTACTTTATGACAAGAAGTCAGTAACTGTTTATTAAGTTGAGTTCTTTCAGCAGAAAAATACTGAAGCAGCGTCAGATTATGTACTTCCCAAGGGCTCCACTTGCACTCCTCAAAAGCTCCACCTGTGATGGAAAAGGAGAAATGGCAGCCTGTTCCTTCTCAAGGTTATGGAAAGTCTCTGATTCAACTCTGTTCCAAATGATTTTGGTCATTGTTTTGATGGCTACTGTTCTTGGTGAGTAATAGGGAGCCAGGCCAGATTGTCACCACAAATGAGTTCATCACACTCTTTTAAGAGATGCCCAATAGATCTTTAACACTGTGGGATATATTTGACCACTTGGAATTTAAGGTTTTGCTCTAAATCCACAAAAAGGCTGTTTTATAGACCAACCCACTTGATACTCCCTTTTAGAATTTCCTCTCCAGGTAGCTCCAAACAATTTACTTATGTAAATCCAAGCAATCATGTCTTAGAATAAATACATATCTGTCAGGCTGGTCATGAACACTCATTGCCTTTGTGGTTATTCAGAAAATAGAGGGGATGTGTATAATTCCGCTGGGACTTGGGTAACTTACTACTTTGTTTAATTCTTCCAGAGAGGTAAAATTAAGATTTTCTTTTTCAAGGTTTTAATCCACCTTGCAATGATGTGGGAAATCATTTTTATTTTTGAATAGACCATCTAGTCAAAATAGAAAAAGTCCAAAAGGACATAATTAGAATGTCTTTTTCTCATCCCTGACTGATTCCGGAGGCAGCAAATCTTATATAATGCTATTTATTAATAGAAAATATGTTCTGCTAAGCAGAAGGTAGAGTTGTATGGCATGGCATAGATGCCTGTATTCTGAGTAAGCCGATGTGGGCAATCTGACACAATGAAGTTCAAGTCTATTCATCCATTTTCTGATAAACTATCACTTACATGGAGAAGGATAGATTATATTATTCTACCCTTTAAGATTATTATTAGCATTATTATCATTGATCAACAAACTTATATTACTGATTATTCACTGTGTTTATCTAATAATGAGATAACAGGAGTTATGATGAAAGAGAGAAGCATGATCCCTGTTCTAAAAATCTTATTACTCAATATCAAGATGCTTTGTTCCAAGATACAGCTATTGATATTCCTTACCATTTTGGTGTCCAGGTGATTGTGGTCCTCCACCCAAGTTACCATTTGCTTTTTCAACAAGCCAGTTGTATGAGACAGAGTTCAAAACTGAAACTATTGTGAAATACACCTGCCGCCCTGGCTACAAAAAAATCAATTCAAGTAAAGTTACTTGTGATGAAGATGGCTCATGGAAATATAGTATCTTTTGTGCAAGTAAGTATTGACATTTATTCTTCTTGTTTTTTTTTTTCTAGAAGGTTGTTTTAGGAACTTAAATGAATTACTTAATTCATATGAAAATCTTTGATCAAAGTAGTCTTCAAAATTAACCATCACCTATACTGTTTGGAAGAAGTCAGTTGGGAATACACTCTGAGATATTTTTCTAACAGTGAGGATATAGATCCTATTTTGCTTTTTATTCTGTTTCTCTGTGACGACAGTCATACATTTTCAAAGGCATACATTTTATGTGGACAGCTGGTCGATATATCACATCCTTTATTAACACAGTGGTCTAACTGAGAAAATGAAACTAAACAGTTTTTTTCTCTTCTTAAAATGTGTCAGAAAAATCAAATATATGTTTGCATTTTCTTTTCTTCTAAACAAAACTTCAATGAGTCAGAATCAGAAATAAGGATTGAAAAATATCTCTAAGTCTATCTATAAGCAGGAGTTCAAGTTAATTAACCAGACTTTTTTCTAATGTTCTATCTTATAAGTAATTGAAATTATTGGTCATTGATTTTAGTTTTTCTCCTAGAGAAACAATGCAGACACCCAGGAGAATTATTCAATGGGATAGTGGAAGTTAAGACAGATTTTCTCTTTGGTTCAACCATAGAATTCAGCTGCTCAGAGGGGTGAGAATAAGACAACCTAGAAGCAATACTTTTCATTTAATTTTTGTAGAGAGTTAATGTATTTATGTGTTTCAAAAATAAAAATGGTATAAAAAGGTATACAACAAGACTTCTCACTTCCATCCCATCCCTATCCATCCCATTACTCTCTGCCCTCTGACAGGAAGTGACTTTGGTTAGTTTCTGATTTATCCCTTTAGTGTTTACTTATATAAATACAAATCTTTTTATCAATATTTTGCCCCCTTTATTACACAGAAGATATTGGACTACATATCCTGTTTTGAACCTTGCTTTTCTTATTAGTTTTTTACTTACACTATTGCTAGGGATGGAATAGTTTTCTGTATTTTCCCAAAATTCATAACTTAATCCTTAATGTGATGCATTTGGAGATGGAGCCTTTATAGGTCATGAGGGTAGAGTCCTCATCAAGGGATCTGTGCTCTTATAAGATGACATGTGAGAGAGCTTATGCTTTCTTTCTCTTTCTCTCTCTCTCTTTCTAGCAGCCACCTGCAAACCAGGAAGGGGGCCCTTACCAGAATCTAACTATGTGAGCATCCTGATCTCAGACTTCTAAGCCTCCAGCACTGAGAAATAAATTTCTGATTTTTGAGTCATCCAGTTTATGGTATTCTGTTATAGCAGCCAGAACTGACTAAGACAAATATGTACAATAGATTTTTGATATTCATGCATCAAGTGTTTCCTAATTCTGTGTGTTTGTGTTTACAACTGTGTAGTTTTCCAATTATATGCGTTTATCATAGCTCATCATAGTTCAGTTAATGATTCCTACTGATTGACTTTTGTGTTTTTGATCTTTTGCTATTATGTACAATGTACTTGAATCTTTTCAGTTGGATTCTCATGCAATTTTTTGGAATGTAATTATGTAATCTGAAAATAATGATTCTGTTATTTTCTCTTTTCCAATTGTTATATTTCAAATCCCTTTCTCTTATCTAATTATGCTAGCAATTATCTCAAATTAAGTACTGGTCATTGTTTTCTTGCTCTGGACTTTAGTAGAAATGACTGGTAGTTTCTTCCTAGGTTTAATGGCACCGTATCTCCATTGATTACAGTTATATATTGAAAATTTTTCCCTAAGAATAATTGTTGATTTTTAAAAAATCCATATTAGTGTCAAGATAAGGAATGTTTTTTTCTTTTTAAAAGTATTAATATCATTAGTCTGTTCAGGCTTCTATAACAAAATACTATAGGCTGGGACAGTTCTGGAGTCTAGAAGTCTCAGAGCAAGATCTAGAGGTTTCCAATGAGGGCTCTCTTTCTGGCTTTCAGATCATTGTCTGCCTTCTCACTGTGTCCTTACGTAACCTTTCCCTGTGTGAGCCTGAGGATTGGGGGAGTACAAGTGGGAGATTTCTGTGGTGTTTCTTCTTATAAGGACTCTGATCTCCTTGGATCAGGGCTGTACCCTTATGAAACTTAATTACTTCCTTATGCAAACATAGCCACACTAGGAAATTAGGGCTTCAACATGAATTTTGAGGAGATACAGTCAGTCTATTAACAGCGTATTATATATTAAAATATTTCCTAATTTTGAAGGTTCCTTTCATTCTTGGAATAAACTTATTTGGTCATAGTCCATTTTTCTTTTAAAGTGTTTCTGGATTCTGTTTGATTATACACACACACATTTTTGAGTTGAGATTGCAACTCTCTTGACCAGGCTGGATGGAGTACAGTGGCATGATTATGACTCACCTCAGCTTCGACCTCCTGTGCTCAAGCAACCCTTTCACCTCAGCTTCCCAAAGTGCTGGGATTACAGGCATAGGCCGTTACACCCGGCCTGTCTGATAATATTTTATCCAGGAAATAATTATTGATATTCAGGGTACATTTTTAAAATGCAAAAAGTCCCAGAAAAAGACTAGAACTTCTCAGGAGCAAGAATAATGAGATGATAATCAGAAAGCTTGAATTTACAGTTCCTGAAGAACTCTTGGGCTTATGAGAGTAAGTCAAGCTCTAGAAGCCAGAAGAAAGATTCAAGTCAGAGGCCAAAGTGCTAGTTTATGTCAGCAATGTGTCTTGTTCATTTATTCAAAGGAAACTGCATAACAAATTCAAGTGAACCACTTCCCTGTTTTGAACTGCCTGATGTATAGCTTGTTAGGGAAAGAGTATAAGATTTAAGTGGAGTTCTAAGACTTTGGGTGCAAAACTTCTCTTGTATTCTTTTTATTGGTTATGATTGAGTACCATCTGATACTATGAAAAACTTAATGATGTTTAGATGAGTTAGATCTTTTTTTAAATGAACAAATGAGCCCTCTGCTTAATATCATAAAATTTAACATTAACTTGGCCCAAATGGTAATTAGTATCAAGGGAACCTTATTTTTTTTATTTTAAAATGTTGAATAAAAATTTCATTTGCCCCAAACTCCATTGACAATTTATATTTACAGTAAGATGAATTACACTAAAATCTTTGACCTGTCTTATTCAGATTTTTCTTAATTGGCTCAACCACTAGTCATTGTGAGATTCATGGTAAAAGAGTTGATTGGAGTGATCCTCTCCCAGAATGCGTGAGTAAGTAAAAAATTTTTTCTGACTTGATTACAAACCTAAACTATGTTAGGTAATAACACTCCTGTGCAATTTACTACTTCTTGTATCCTCAGTAGAATTTCCATGAAATTTAGGTTTGTGACAATGTCTTCCCTAATTATTTCTTTCTCTTCATTCACTCACCTCAGTTGTCAAGTGTGAGCCCCCTCCAGATATCAGCAATGGGAAACACAGTGGAGATAAAGAAATCTATACATATGCCTCATCTGTCACCTACAGCTGTGACCCCCTCTTCTCACTCATAGGCAATGCCTCCATTTTCTGCACCGTGGAAAATAAGACAATAGGTGTCTGGAGGCCAGACCCTCCCACCTGTGAAAGTAAGTCATAATGATGAATTCAGCTTTGAATTTTCCTCTTTTGTTTAAAAGCAAGAGGGAGGTGTATATTCATTGGAGGAAATGGAATAGTTGAAAGATAAACTAATCATTGGAATAATAAAGTGATTCATTTGTTCAACTAATCTTATTACATGCTACATTAGTCAGGATAGCATAGGCTTTTCTGCAGTAATAATCAACAACTAAATCTAAAGGGCTTTTTATAGTGAAAGTTTTTTTTAAGCTTCTTCTTAGCAAACTGCTAGCCTGGGAACTCCCTAGGGCAGCTGTCACTTATGTGGTAGTCTAGATTGTTTAGATCTTCTTATATCTCTTCAAAATGTCTACAATCAGTTCTGAAGGAGAAAAGAACAAGGAAGGTCAGTCCCTGAACATATCACTTGCCATTATAGCCTTTTGACCAGAACTAGTTCTTTGTTCTCTGCCTAGTGCAAAGGAACTGGGAAACATAATCTTCTGTTTACACTGGAAGAACTAGAAATATGAGTGGGCACTAATAATGTCAACCACACATGCCTATGGAGCAAACAAATCCATACTGACATCAGCAGCTTAATAGTTAAAAACAACCAAAGAAGTTACCTTTCCCTGACCTTTCTAAGGAAGTCAGAAGAGATGTTATATCAATATCAGTAATGACTTAGCTTGCTGGTCAGGAGCATCATTCTTTACTACCATTAAAGTGCCTAAAAACACAGTGTCATTTATTGTTTTGACTCAGTACAGGACACAGGCAATGCTGGAAACAGAGAGAGAGTATAACAGTGAAAAGTGCAAAATGTCTGGAGTCAGGTCTGCAAGAGGTGAAAAAGGCAAGAACTGAGGCTGGAAAGGTTAGCAAGGGCCAGGTTAGGAAGGGCCATGTGTGTCACTTGTAGAAATTCAGAACAAAGGAGAAAGGGAGACATTGAAAGGACAGTTTGAAGAGACAAAACAGAACTGATAGGCATCTGTTGCAAATTTTTAGCCAAGAAGTGAAGGGGCTTCAACTGTAGCCACAGCAGTGGGCCTGGAAAGAAATTGAGGGATTATGGAGGAATTAAGGCAGCAGGATTGACAGCACTTGATGACTAGATGTGGAGTAGAGAGTAAAGGGCAATTTATTCTCTGAATGTGGGGGCTTAGTTCTTCAATGCCTGGCTGCCTCTGTGTGACATCATGTCATTACCATGGGCCACTGACCCATGACCGAGACTGAGATTTGGGCACCAGGTTTTAGATATTGTTAGTTTTTATTCATGAAAATGTTGGGGGATTTTATCTACAACAATCAGCATAATGGGGCCTCATCTTGCTGAGTTTCTAGAATCTGAAAGAACACGTATAGAGCTCCAAAATGTTTTCTTGCACAGTACCTATTTGATATATACTTGTATCCAGTCTTCCTTGGAGCAATATAAACAGTTTTAGTCACATCTTTACTGTTATTTCTCTTTTATAACTCACATGTCTCTTTGTATGCTTCTTTAGAAATTGCCTGTCGTCCGCCAAAGATTCCAAAGGGAATCTTTGTCTCTGGATTTGGGCCCTTCTATACTTACAAAGATTCCATTGTGATTAACTGTGAGGAAGGTTTTATCCTCAGAGGCAGCAGTTTAATCCACTGTGAAGCTGATAATGAGTGGCATCCTTCTGTTCCCTCTTGTGAACCCAGTGAGTATGGACTATGAAGGAGCTTCAGTATTTGGTATTGGTGTGGCATGCTCATAGGCACAGGAGTAAATGACTGTTTACCCCTAATAAATCATTTTAAGCTAAATTAATACTCTTTACTAGTTCTTTTGTTTGTTGTTAGAAGGAACATTTTCTTGTTAGTAATCTCTTAGTGTTATTTGAAGAATTTCATGTATAACATGTAGTCATGACACCCAATGGCTGTAGATATTGTAGACAATAGTAAAATGTCTCATCCTAACAAAATTAACATATTATGAGGATTTTTTTTTTTTTTTTTTGAGTTGGAGTCTCACTCTGTCGCCTAGACTGGAGTGCAGTGGCCACTCCCGGCCACCGCAGCCTCGACCTGCTGGGCTCCGGCGATCCTTCTGCCTCAGCCTTTGGAGTAGCCAGAATTACAGGCGCGTATTACCGTGCCCGGCTAATTTTTTGATTTATTGTAGAGATGAGGTCTCGCCTGCCCAGGCGGGTCTCACACCCACGGGCTCAGGCCATCCACTCACCTCAGCCTCCCAAAGGCGTGGGATTACAGGCTGAGCCACCGAGCCCGGCTTATGAGGATTTTTTAATTGATGGAAGTAAAATTCCTTTAAGGCCATTCCTTTTCCTAATTTGCATAGAAGTACTCTCTGGGCTAAATTAATCTTGAGACCTAGATATTGTAAATGTGTACAAATTATTCAGAACATTAATGATACTTATTGCTAATATTTATTAAGCATTTCATACATAGCAAATACCGTTTTAAGTGCTTTGCATCAATTAACTCATTCAATATTTACGACAATTCTAGGTAGCTATTTTTATCCAATTTTAATGATGAGAAAATGGAAAGAGTAAATCACTAGCACAAGTTCACATAATTAATCAGGGGTAGGGGCCACCTCTACATTGTGGTTTATCTATTCTGTTCTGCCATCACAAGAACTTAGGTGCCACTCAAAATGAATAATGATGAAATTCAGTGACTATATAATTTGACAGACTTGTATTCTCTCTTTAATCCACCTGGACCTTTAGCATGTGGTTGAACAGAAAAAATGCAAGACCATTCCAGCTACTTGGAAGGCTGAGGTGGAAGGATCGCCTAAGCCCAGCAGGTTGAGGCTGTGGTGGCCGTGAGCATGCCACTCCAGCTGGAGCAACAAAGAGTGAGACTCCAACTCAAACAAAACAAAACGCAAGACCAAAGACTCAGCTGCAAATGTTTTATGGGCTTGGTTTGAGGCCAAGTCACGATGATCTGGGTGATAGTTTCATAATGTCAAGGGAATGTCTTTTTTTATGCCCCGTTAGGCAAAGAGAATTGAAAATCAGTCTTATCTTGGAGTAAATTTTTGTTGTGCATTCCTTGTGATCCTAATGCTGCCCCTGAAGACCTACCATTCTGAAGTGCAGTGAAGTGAAAGGAAAACGAAGCTCCTGTACAGTTGACCGGGCATGTAGAAATTGTCCCTTTCCTGTACCACAGGTGCTTCTCAGTAACAACCTCTCTAGTGCCACATGTGTTTGGGCTTGACACCAGTCTGTTGGGCAGTGGTGCTGTTGAGTCTCTTCCTGAAATCCCCACTTAGCCTTTACCATCTAGTTTTTTGACAAATGGATATATGATATCATCTTTTTTGTGACTCATAAGTAACTCTGCCATCTTCATTAACAGTTTTCTTTCACTCTTGTGCTTTCTTTATGAGTGGATGGTTGCACTGACTTACCAGATATTTCCTATGCTTCCTGGGAGAGAAGTGACTACAACCTAAGTGACCAGGAAATATTTGAAGTTGGGACTGAGTTGAAATATAAGTGCAAACCTGGCTATAGACCTATTCTAAATAAGCCCCTGATTATGACTTGTCAGAAAAATTTGACATGGACATCTTCCAATAAGTGTGAGAGTAAGTAAACTTGAACTTTGTGGTGTGTATGTATGTGTGTATCTTCTTTTTCTATTGAAAAATTTGAGCACAATCCTTAAAATTTACAGTCTTGTTTTATTACATAGTATATACTTGATTTTTGTAAATGTCCAGTGTGCACTTGAAATTGTATATTTTGCAGTTGGTCAATTGAATCTACTTTGTAATGACTTCATTTAAATCTATTTCCATATCCATACTGATTTCTTGTCTGCTTGTTCTCTGAGTTACTGAGAAAAGCTTTTCTGAGTGTGGATTTGCCTTTTAGCATTACAGGTTTTTTTTTTTTTTTTTTGAGTTGGAGTCTCACTCTGTCGCCCAGACTGGAGTGCAGCGGCCACTCCCAGCCACTGCAGCCTCGACCTGCTGGACTCCGGCGATCCTTCCGCCTCAGCCTTCCGAGTAGCCGGAATTACAGGCATGCGCTACCATGCCCGGCTGATTTTTTAAAAAAATTTATTTATTGTAGAGATGAGGTCTTGCTGCCCAGGCGGGTCTCGAACCCGCAGGCTCAGGCAATCCATTCGCCTCAGCCTCCCAAAGGCGCGGGATTACAGGCTGAGCCACGGAGCCCGGCCATTACAGGTTTTTTAAAACCAGTTTTTGCTTTACATATTTTGAGACCATGTTACTAGAGGCATGCAAATTTAGAATGGTATATTTTCCTGGTGAATTTAACCTTTTATCATTATCAAATGACTCTATTACTGTAACTGTTTCATCTTTAAATTCTACTTTTATATCAATAAAGCTCCAATAGTTTTATTTGAATTAGTATTTGTGTTTATCTTTTTTAAAGTCTTTTACTTTTAAGCTTTATGCAATTTTATATTTTAAGTGTATCTTGGAAGCAAGATATAGTTGGATATTTGTCTTACTTGACTATTTTATTATTATTAGAGTACTTATCAATGTACAGTTAATGTAATTGTTAATATATTTGAATTCATATCTACTATCTTACTGCTTATTATATTTTCTGTCTGTTTTATATTTTTTTATTGACTTCTTTTGAATTATTTTAAATGTTCCCATTTTTGTGTGGTATTTGGTATTTATATACTTTTTACTCCTTTTTTCAGTGTTTACACTAAAAAATTACAAGATGCATTCTTACTTTTTCTTTTTTTTTTAAGCGACAGTGTCTCACTTTGTTGCCCAGGCTGGAGTGCAGTGGTGCAATCATAGCTCACTATAACTTAAAACTTTTGAGGTCAAGTGATCCTCCCACCTCAGTCTTCCAAGTAGCTAGAACTGCAGGTGCACGCCATCATGCCTAGCTAATTTGTGTGTGTGTGTGTGTGTGTGTGTGTGTGTGTGTGTGTGTGTGTGTGTGTGTGTGTATGTAGACACAGGTTCTATGCCATGTTGCCCATGCTGGTCTTGAACTCCTAGCCTCGTCTCAGCTTCCCAAAATGCTAGGATTACAGACATGGGTTACTGTGCCTGGTCAAATTCTTATTTACTAATCGAACATAATTTATTACTTTTATCTCTTCCCAGGCAATGGAAAGCCTTAGAAAACTTTAACTTGATTCACATCACCTTTTCTATATACTTTGTTTTTGTGTATTTCAAGTATAAATGTGTCTTAAACTCTATTTTATTACGACTATCACTATTACTATTATTATTATTTTAATAAATCAAATTAGTTTAGATTTGTCCACATAATTACTATTTTAAAAGTCTATTTTTTTAGATTTATATTTTCCTTTGCCTGATGAATATTCTTTAGTTTCCTTTAGTGAGGAACTACTGATAATGAATTGTCTTTTTCTTGTTTGTCTCAATGTGCCTTTATTTTATCTTAATATTTGAAGATATATTGGCTTGACATAAAATTCTAGGTTGGCAGTTAATTTGTTTGGCCACATGAAATATATTATTTCACCGTCTTCCATTTTTAATTGTTTCTGTGAAGAATTTTGCTATTAGTCATACTATTACTCATTTAAAGCCCATCCATTTTTTTTCTGGCTGCTTTAAGATGTTCTCCTTGTCTTTGTTTTTCACAGATATGTCTGGGTTGGTTTCTTTGTGTTTGCTCTGCTTGAGATTCAGGATTCTTCTAGAATCTGAAATCTGATGCGTTTCATTGATTTTGGAAAAATTTTCAACTGCAAATACTTCAATACTTTAAATAGATATTTTCTTCTAATACCATTTCAGCCTGTTTTCTCTCTTCTCCTTTCAGTACTTCAGTTACATTTATGTTAAGCCTTTACATTGAGTCTTCTGTATTTCCTATACACTTACCTGTGTTTTTGAACTTTTTGTTTCTCAATGTTTTCTTATGAATATAAATAAACTTCACTAATTATCTCTTCATCTGTGTATTATCTGATATTAATTATTAATTTAACTTTAATGGTTATATTTTTAGTATTAAGATTCCTATTTGTAGTAGATTTGTAGTGCTGACATTTCTACCAAAACTCTTACTTGTGTTTTTTATTTTCTTCTACATCATAAGGCAAAGTTGTTTTTAAATCAATGTTTAGAGCTTCATTTTCTGGATCCCATTAGGTTTGCTAGACTTGTCTCTTGCTTTCCTTGTCTTTAATTACCTTGTCTAATCTCATGTTGAAGGTTTGCTTGTGGCAGTGGTAAGGGGCACTAGGGGCCTTGAATGATCTGAATCCAATTAGGGATTATAATGAAACAAAACTGGACTTCAGTGCTTATATAGGGGTCTATTTTTGGTTTATCCTCACTTCAAGGTATAGTTCTGAAGGTCCCCCAAGATCTGGGATTAGCCAGTAATCAAACCCCACCGCCATATACACATTGAGTTCTGGTTAGCTTTTTAACCACTCAGTTGTATTTTGGTGGCAAAAAAATTAATATATACTTCTATAAAGAAAGCAGCTCTAAATTTCAGGAAACTTCAACAAGTTTCTTTCTTTCTCATTAAAAGAAGAACAATAAAGACAATTAAGGTCTTGGCACCTTAATTCTTCGCAGATGAATTAATTTCCCCCTCCCACGTTTTTCTACTTATTGTCAAGGTGGATCAAAATTGTTTCAACCATCATCACCAAAATCAACACTTCATTTAAAAACTCTATAATGAAAAAACATAGAGGGAAATTAAGTCATAGCAACTCGACAAAATAGTGACAGAATTTGGAGAAGATGCTTGGTATAACTCTTACCTCACTTTCTTTTCCTTCCTTTCTTCTATCAATTGTGGAAAAAACGCAACATGAGATCTCCCTTTCAACAAGCTTTTCAACATACAATATAGTACTTTTAACTATAGGCACTAGTTGTATTATGGATTTCAAGAACTTATTCATTTTGTATGACTGAAACTTGATATCTGTTGAATAACTGGGGAGTTGTTTCCCCCTCTCTTCCCCAGCTTCTGGCAACCACCATTCTACTCTCTGCTTCCATGAGCTTGACTTCAGATGTCCACATTTTCTATATAGTAGAGTTAGGTCTTCACCCTTGATGATTTCATTAAACATGAACATCATGTTTTATCTATCAGGTGTATGTTGCCCAACACCAGATCTAGAAAATATAAGAATTATAAATGAAAGGAGATATTTCACGGATAAATGTGTATATGCCTATGGAGACTACATTTCATATACCTGTGATGAAGGCTACTTTCCTATTTCTGTTGGTGAAAAGAGTCAATGCCACACAGATGGCACATGGAAGCCTAAGATGCCAGCATGTGAGCCAGGTAAGAATATTGAGAGAACTTTTCATAATTAGTTTCCATATTCCCTAGATGTTTCCACAAAAGATCAAACTATTTAAAACCAGTTAAGTTTAGGGTTGTTCCTCTGAGAAGTATTACACAAAGGCAGTGGCAAATGCACACCACTAATACTACGCAGTTATAGGTCAAAGTATATTGGAGAAAAAAAATTACAAGAGAAATTTTCTTGCAAGAGAAAACAATAGAGTTGATGAAATACCTCAAAGTTTCATTTTGTCATTTTTTTGCCCTGCATATATTATGGTCAGCACTGCGGCCAATGTTTTACTAAAGAGGAACACTACCCCACAAACCTCTATATTTACAAGTCAAGGAAGCAATAATGATCTATATATTTATGTAACAGTGAAAGCTCCCAGGTTGAAGAAGTGAGTTTGTTAAAAAGAGGGAGTCTTTGAAGCCTAGTGACTGATACAGTGTCAGCCTTTTCTTTCCTTGCTCTATCTCAGACCTACTGAACCACTTCTTTGTTAAAATGCCAAAAAGGAGGGGGAAAAATCATCTAGAGTGATATAGACCTGTCTCTAATTAAGATAAGACACCGAAAAATGTTATCATTATGGATGTATCTTCATTATAAATTTTTTTTTTTTTTACATCAACATGTTGGGGTTTATTGGATATCATAGTCTGGATTACTCTAAAGGCAAAACTTAAGGAAATGATTTGGGAACTATTAGCTTATTTTGGAGGTGATCCTGGGAAAAAGGAGTAAAGGATGAGAGAATGACAGAAGGAAAAAGAAAAGGTGACTGTTTTTAAGAGGAGGGGCACAATTCTTTGAGACCACTGAGAAGTGTAAGGAATATCTTTCAAAATTGCCTGTCTGAAGGTTGAAAGATTGGGACAATTATGCACTGCTTTTTGTCCCCCGTTAATTTAAAGTTGCCTTGAAAGGCAGTAATTGCCCTTCAATTCCAACTGTACTCTTTTAGTTTCAAAGAAGGCCCCAAGGCAGAAAACTTAAGAGATTCGTAGTGAATATTTTCTGTAAAACAGCATCATCATAAATCTGAACCTGTGTAAAGCTATATAGTTTTTGAGACTGTAGTCAGAGGTAGCCCAAGGGGATATTACTTACGTATGAAAATATCTGCTACAGTATACCCTTGTATCACTTAGATCTGTTTATACTGCATATTGACTGCACTGCTACTGACTCCTTAAAGTAATTGCTGGCTTCAGTCTCTTAAAAAAATCCCTCTAAAGGAGGGTGAGTGAAATGTTAACTCTGATCTTGAGGCTATAACTGATATTAATAATCTCTCTTCCTACTACCCATTCTGGATTACCCTCACCTTTAGTCGGTGCTCAGGTTGGCCTAGGTTGCTTGCCATATGAGATAACCCTGACTTTTCTCTCTGAAGAATGAAAATTCTTGGTGTCTTATAATGGCCCATTTACTAGTAATCCCAGGTTTAAAAGCATTAAGAGATGCCTTAGTAAATATCCTGGATTCCAAACATATTTCTTGCCCCAATTATAGACATCCTAGTTCTTTATGATAACCATAATTCATATATATGTGCATACACGCCCCCTATCAGTATAGTAACATCCCTCCTCACCCTCAAGCTGTCCCAACAGCATAAGAAGTCCAATGCAATCAGGTGACAACCATAGCTTCAGGTTCTAGTAGGGTATTTGAAGGCCTTGGCATCCCCTGGTAGAACAATTTTACCCTTTTTCCTAGGAAGCAGAACCTAGAAGAGTCTAGTTGCAAATAGGAAGAATACTTCTACAAGTGGTTCACTGGGATTAACTGTGAGAGGCATCAATCCTACTTCTACTCTTGTTTCTGGTTCTATGTGTTTTAAACATTGGGTACAGAGTTTTACATAGATACTCGCAAGTGGTTCAGTCTACACATTGCATCCTGGAAGACAGTGTACCCATCTGTAAGGGTCATTTCTAATTTGATACTTTAGCTGAATCTTTAATACTTTATCCCAGTGGTCTAGCATGCTGTCCCTTTTCAGTAGTGCATTGTGTCAAGATTGTTTGTGAATTCTGCTGTTATTCAGAATCTTTACAATTTTTCATAGATGAATATTTCCTTTACTTAGCCTGCTGTCTATTGAGAACAAGTCTGGCCTATCTGTAATTCATGTTATCCTACCAAAAATCATGTAATTTCCCTAAACAGTGAAATATTTCAGTGATCATGTAAGAAAAGGTGAGGCACTATAAAATGTAGAATTTCCTCAACTCAAGTTGCTTATATTCACATCAAATTTTTCTGAGTCCTCAGCCTGAAAGCAGCAGAAGTGTTTGAGTTGTGTCAAGTTACCCTATAGGGAAAGAATTTGAATGGGAACATTTGAATCTCTTGCAAATCACTCAGATTTGGAGGTGTCTTGTTAATTTGAAACCATGAACTCATTCCCTTCTTCCTCTCTCATCATCCAAGTTTGCAGTTACCCTCCCAGTATTGCCCATGGACACTACAAAGAAGTTATTTTAATAACTCCTTATCCTGAGGCTACATATGAATGTGATGAAGGATATGTTTTGGCAGGATTTGCTACAATCTACTGCAAATCTTTTCACTGGCAAAGTTCACCTCCTCAATGTAAAGGTAATTCCAGCTCCACTCACAGTCCATTGACGATAGAATTAAAAAATCTTTAGAGTAACGTTTCTGTTCATCAAAGACAGTAGTGGTCTTTTATTTATTTATTTTTAATATTTAAATTATACCTGATAAACTTTACAAAGTCATTGACAGGTTTACCTCCTACTCTAGTTCTCCAAAGGTGTAGTTTGCCCTGTGTCCAGAAGCAACCACTACTACCAGGTTCTTATGCATCTTTCCAGAGTATCTAGAGACACTATCTTTTATCTGAGAATATCTTCGTGGCTCTGGGATTCATGAGAATCCTGGGTTAATAACTATTCATTCAAATTATGAAGTATTAGAAATCTCCACAAAGACCTCATGTTGGCCATCATTTTTCCATGATCTTTCTTTCCATTTCTATTTTTCATGACCTGATGATATTCCTGGCTGGTTGATTTACTGTAGAAACATGCTGAGTCAACTCGAGGTCTGTTTCTTCATGCTGTGTTCATCATTTTGCTAACAATCACCACAGTCTCCATTTAACCAAGGGCGATTATGAGGCAATAAAAATGAAAAGTACATACCTAGTATCATAAATAGATCAAGGCTGTGAGGTGCAGCAATTAAGAACACAGATCCTTACTACCTAAAAAATATGTGACACTGAAGAAATTATTTAACTTTTCCAGTTTTCTTGTTGGTAAAATGGTAATAATAGTATCTAATACATAGAGTTGTAGTTAGGATAAAATGAGATATGGCAAGCAAAAAAATTAGCACACAAACTGACATATAGTACTTAATGTTAATTATTGCTATTACAAATATTAACATAAAAATAGTATAGCACAACTTATATGATCTGAATATAATTATGAACACAATTTATCATCATTTTTATTATCCAGTACTCTTATGATACATTTTACTGAAAAACAGTATACCTAAAAATATGTTTTCATTATAGCTTTGTGTCTGAAACCGGAAATAGTGAATGGAAGGCTGTCTGTGGATAAAGATCATTATGTTGAACCTGAAAATGTCATCATCCATTGTGACTCTGGCTATAGTGTGGTTGGTCCCTCAAGTATCACTTGCTCTGAGAACAGAACCTGGCACCCAGAGATGCCCAGGTGTGAGTGGGTAAGTGGCACAACTTAAGGAGGTTTTGTGCTGCCAACCCCTAAAAATGGTGGCCTCCTCCAAGCTTCTGTTCTAGATAACAGTGGTGAAATCTGACTCTTGTCAGGAAGCATAAGTAATTTACCGCAATTAGCTCTTTCACCCTTGAAGTGTGTAAGTGTGGAGAGACAAGTTTTCCTACTCTGTGGCTATAGCCAAAATCTCTAGACTTGAGGATACCATAGACCCAGATGTCCTGACCCTTAGCTCTATATTTCCTACAATATGCATGCATTTGATACATTTCTGGTCGGTCACCAGAGCCATCACTCAGTTGTCCTGGCTGAGGTGCTCTGTACCTCCTTTGCAGCCCTGCATCTTTTGAGCTGCAGCTGTGCTTGACACAACTGCCCAAGAACAGATCTGGGCTGGAACAGCATGTAAACACTTGCTAAGATGCAATGTCCCTCCTGATTTTCTCCTCATCTATCAGTTCTCTAGTCAACCTCCTTTTTGTCAGTAATACCTCTCAGAATGCACCCCCTCTTCTTCTCATTTCTTTAAATCATTTTTAGGAGGCCCCTGTAGGCTGTGAACAAGTGCTCGCCGGCAGACACCTCATGCAGTGCCTCCCAAGTTCAGAGGAAGTGAAAATGGCCCTGGAGGTATATAAGCTGTCTCTGGAGATTGAACAACTGGAACAAGAGAGATACAAGTTGATGAACGTCAATCAGAAATGTTCTGGAAAAGGGGATGCAGGGGAGTCATTTTTGCCCTCAGTTCAAGTTATAGAATCTCCATTGAGCAACTCTACTGTTCCTTAAGCACCATCATTCTAATAAGTATTTGGGCTAGGAGAACTTGATTATGATTATTAGCACTGAAAATGTGTACTTATTGATAATCTAGCCTTTTTGTGACTCAAGTGTCTACTCTTCTGGACTCAAAGTGCTGGTTAATTAAATAATTATCTATCAAATATCAGTTTGTGTTGTCATCCTGGTCAATATGTCACATAAATGTACATACTCCAGAACACAAATCCACTGCCTAAAGCATCTGTAATTAACTTCACTTCCTTTTTTTTTTGTACTTCAGAAAGAATGGAAGTCAGAAAACTCAAACTGTGTTCATACCGTAATTTTTACCTGAATGCCTTTACTCCACATCTCACATGTATCTACCCTTTACCTGCAGAAAAGAGCACAAAACTCAGTGAATTTTCAAAGTAAACACACTTCTCTAAATAGAAGCCAGAGTGAGAATAAGAATGTTACCAACAGTAAGGTATTGCCTTCTGATGGCCCCTTTCCCTTAATAACTACCCCTGCAAGAAAGTCCACTCTTCTCACTTTTAACAGCTTGGATTGGGCTTCCATGTTATTCAGATTTATAGAAATGGAGTTATACATTATACATTCTTTCATTCGTGTCATTTTTTCCTAAACATTGTGTTTGTGAGATTCGTCCATGTTGTGTGTCGTTGAGATTCATTCAGTTTCATTTCTATTTAGTATTACACCATTGAATGCATATATTATAATTTACTACCTACCTTACTGCTGGTGAACATTTGAGTTATTTTCAGCTTTTGACTATTATGAACAGTACTTCTGTAAACATTTTTTAAAATGTCTTTCATTGAACATATGAACTTTTGTTCAGTATATACCTAGGTTGGAACTGACTTATAAGGGAGGGTGTATGTGTGTGCTCAACATTTTTCAGTTTTGTTCTACTAAACCACATTCTCACCTGAAGAATATGAAACACTTGCTACTGTTTGTTTGAAAAATTCTGCTGGGTGTAAAGTGGTATCACATTGTGCTTTTGATTTGTTTTCCCCCCGATTAGTGAGGTGGCATTGCTTTTCATATGTTTATTGACATTTAGATATCCCTGTACTGTGAAGTGCTAGTTTGATTATTTTTCTTTCTTTTTTTTTAAGTTATAAAGATGTGGGGTATAATCCAAGGTTAGGTATGCAAACATTGATTATGCAGGTGCCCTTGTTAATGAATTATGCCCCTCCCTCCCCTAGCAGTTTCCATCAACTGCCAATCCCACCCACCCTCCCCTGACAGTTTCCCACTACTGTCAATCCCTTTCTTATAGTATTATAATTGATCAAGCTCCACTTATGAGTGAGAACATATGGTACTCTGTTCTTGGTTTCAGTGATAGATCACTGAGTATGATCGACTCTAAATCCATCCAAGTTGCTGCAAAGTCCATATGTTTGTCCTTTATGGCTGCATAATATTCCATTGTGTATATGTACCACAATTTTTTTAGCCAGTCCAGCTTCAATGGGCAACATGGTTGGTTTCATGTTTTTGCTATTGTGAATAGAGCTGCAACAAACATACATGTGCAGG